ACACCATCACTAAGAATGGTATTTTTGTGGGAGAAGGGTACGCCACTGATGGCATGTTTAAGTTGAATGTTGATTTGAATAAAACTTCTCCTTCTGTTTACTTTTTGTGTGATTTTAATATTTGGCATGGTAGACTTTGTCACGTTAATAAACGAATCATTTCTAATGCAAGCAACATAGGCCTAATCCCTAAACTAAATATTAATGATTCTAATAAATGTGAATTTTGCAGTCAAGCTAAAATAACAAAGACTTCACATAAATCAATAATAAAAGAATCTGATCCCCTAGATCTTATACACTCTGATATATGTGAATTAGATGGAAGTTTAACTAGAAATAATAAACGTTATTTTATCACTTTTATTGACGATTGCTCTGATTATACTTATGTATATCTAATGAAGAATAAAAGTGAAGCGCTTGACATGTTTAAGGTGTATGTAACTGAAATTGAGAATCAATTTAACAAGAAGATTAAGAGACTTCGCAGTGATAGGGGAACCGAATATGACTCTAGCTTGTTTAATGATTTTTATGCTGAACATGGTATTATACATGAAACGACTGCTCCATACTCTCCTGAAATGAATGGTAAAGCAGAAAGAAAGAATAGGACTCTTACTGAACTTGTAGTTGCAATCATGTTAAATTCTGGTGCTGCACCTCACTGGTGGGGGGAAATTTTATTGACTGTTTGCTATGTCCTGAATAAAGTTCCCAAGTCGAAAAGTAAGATCTCACCTTATGAGATATTAAAGAAAAGACAACCAAATTTGTCTTATTTGAGAACTTGGGGTTGCCTGGCTTATGTCAGAATTCTGGATCCGAAACGAGTTAAACTCGCTAGTAGAGCCTATGAATGCGTATTCATTGGGTATGCAGCAAACAGTAAGGCATACAGGTTTTATGACCTAAATGCCAGAGTAATCATAGAATCAAACGATGTTGAATTCTTTGAAGACAAATTTCCCTTCAAATCGAGAAATAGTGGGGGCACACAATCGAGTCACATTCCTGTGATAAAAAGCACTGAAAGCAGCAACAATGTAGAAACAGAGCTTCGAAGAAGTAAAAGAGCAAGAGTTGCTAAAGACTATGGGCCCGATTATGCGGCCTATAATGTAGAAGAAGATCCAATAAATCTTCAAGAAGCACTGTCATCTATGGATGCAGACTTATGGCAAGAAGCCATTAATGATGAGATAGATTCTCTAGAATCTAACAAGACCTGGCACTTAGTAAACTTACCTCCGGGTTGCAAACCAATTGGTTGTAAATGGGTTTTGAAAAAGAAACTAAAACCTGATGGAACGATTGAGAAATACAAGGCACGCCTTGTAGCCAAGGGTTTTAGACAAAGAGAAAATATAGATTTCTTCGACACCTTTTCTCCAGTCACTAGAATTACATCCATTAGGGTACTCATTTCAATAGCAGCCATTTATAACTTAATAGTACACCAAATGGATGTTAAAACAGCCTTTTTAAACGGTGACTTAGAAGAAGAAATCTATATGGAACAACCAGAAGGATTTGTAATCCAAGGACAAGAAAGCAAGGTCTGTAAGTTAGATAAGTCTCTGTATGGACTAAAACAAGCCCCTAAACAATGGCATGAAAAGTTTGATAACTTAATGATAATTAATGGGTACAAAGTGAATGAAAGTGACAAGTGCGTCTATTACAAATCTGAGAATCGCATTTGTACTATCATATGTCTATATGTAGACGATCTACTTATATTTGGATCAAACATTCAGGCCATTAATGATATGAAATCATTGTTATGCAATAACTTTGATATGAAAGACCTCGGAGAAGCAAGCGTGATCTTGGGTATCAAGATCACGAGATCCGACCAAGGAATTTCTTTGGATCAATCTCACTATGTGGAGAAGATCTTAAAGAAATATAAATACTTTGATTGTAAACCTGCATGCACTCCGTATGATCCAAGTGTGAAACTGTTTAAGAACACTGGAGAAAGTGTCAAACAAGCAGAATATGTGAGCATCATTGGCAGTCTTAGGTATGCCACTAATTGTACTAGACCCGACATTGCATATGTCGTAGGATTGTTGTGCAGATTTACAAGTAGGCCGAGTAACGAACATTGGCAAGCTATTGAGCGAGTAATGAGGTACCTTAAAAGGACTATGGACCTCGACCTACACTATCAGAAATTTCCTGCTGTACTAGAAGGGTATAGTGATGCAGATTGGAACACCTTATCGGATGACTCCAAAGCTACTAGTGGTTATATATTTAGTATAGCCGGAGGAGCTGTATCTTGGAAATCAAAGAAACAGACCATTCTGGCACAGTCCACAATGGAGTCTGAGATGATAGCATTAGCTACAGCTAGTGAAGAAGCAAGTTGGTTAAGATGCTTGCTAGCTGAGATCCCTTTATGGGAAAAACCTATACCAGCTGTGTTGATCCACTGCGATAGTACCGCGGCTATTGCAAAAGTTGAGAACCGTTACTATAATGGTAAAAGACGTCAAATTAGAAGAAAACATAGCACTGTTAGAGATTGTATATCTAAAGGAGCTGTGAGAGTGGATCATGTACGCACTGATGAGAACTTAGCAGATCCTTTAACGAAAGGATTAGCTAGAGAGAAAGTCCATAATACATCCAAAAGGATGGGACTAATGCCTATGAAGCAATTAGTTACTCATGATGGTAACCCGACCTAAATGACTGGAGATCCCAAGACTTAGGTTCAATGGGTAATAACAAGTTGTGAGTAATATGAAAATGATCATGCAAGTAAAGCATGAATCCTGAAGTAATGACAGGATGAGATAATAGAAACTCTTAATGATATCTATTCTCTGTATGAGGGAGTACCTAGGCTACAGGAGTACTCTTGATAGATTCACCTATGTGACTGTGGAACTGAGGCCGGTTCCTATGGAATTTCGAGGCAAAATTCCTAGAGCATTCACTAAACCGGGATACACGTGCAAGGCCACTAAAGCACGGGCTATAAGAATACACCTTACGAAAAGGTTGTGTGCGGGTCTGATGTCCGAGATAGAGTTCAAGACAATAGTGTCACTCTTGTTGAATCAGAATCCTACTCGCTACGCTAAGGTTCAAGTCGTAGACACCTTTGCTTATGCACAATCTTAGAAACGTTTGAAAGACTTCTAAAATTTCCTTTAAATTCAAGTGGGGGATTGTTGGAACTATAATAATTATAGTAATAGAAATTGAAAAGTGAATTTGAAAAGATTCATTTTAGTCCCACATTGGATGTTGGAATTATATTAATGGGAATTGGAAAGTGAATTTGAAAAGAGTCATGTTAGTCCCACATTGGATGTTGGAATTATATTAATGGGAATTGGAAAGTGAATTTGAAAAGAGTCATGTTAGTCCCACATTGGATGTTGGAATTATATTAATGGGAATTGGAAAGTGAATTTGACAAAATTCATTTCAGTCCCACATTGGAGGAATGGAAATATCAGCCTCACTAGCTACCTATAAATAAAGGGTAAAAATTCAGTAGTGAGCACTCCGGATTTCACAAATTCACACGAATTTTGATTTTCCTCTCTCTCCCTTAATTCTCTTCATCTAAACAATTTTCTTTTCTTGGTTTTTTCGACTGACTATTACAGCCATATACTGGACTGACTATTTTCGCCAGATAATTTAGAAAGGTGTATTTCTAGAGCGATTTATCAGTGTGCAACTGATAATCGTAATTTTGAACGGGCTGTTTTATCCTGGAGGCGTCGTCGTAAATCGACTGTTTTGCATATTTTGGCAGTACGGCGAAACGTCTTAAAGAAAGCGACCTAGTACGCGACTCATCCCGATAATTTCCTTGTGCCAATATTTCAAATCCGAAAACAACAGATATTTTTCTACAAACATCAACCAACTACACAAACTTGTTAGTAGTTATTTAAACGCAATGCAAAATAAAATAGGGTGCAAGATAAAACGATAAATCTTAGGACAAAATTTAGGGTATTACAAATAGAGATTATTAATTTCTGAAATTTTCTATGAATTTTGTAGAAAAAAAGGTAATGTACTAGAATATTCCTGAGGACCGAATTAATAAGTGTGATTCTCTCACTTATAGATAGAAGTCTATCCTTCTAGCTTGAAAGTCTAGTCTTTAAACAATCAATCACCGATTTCTAAAATGAGATTCTATGATGTTTCCCACCAACAAAGACTCCTAAGAATTTGAACCGTAATGAGATTATCTTACAACCCAAGAATTGTTCTGCAGCATTCAAAAAATCATCATCAACACCAACCCCAAACATAAATGTTTTCCCAATGTTTATTTTGAGGCCAGAAATCATTTTGTAGCCATTTAGGATCGATTTCAGCGCTCACAAATTATATCTTGTACCATCACAAATTACGATACCATGTTATAAGATACTTCATTATTTATCTTGAAATCTTTAAGTAGATCTGCAGCAACACTCTCTTCATCAATAATGTCAAACTTTCACCAATCGATTTCAAAAACAAAGATAACCACATATTAAATTGAAGATGGATCTACATAACTACCTTAACTTCAGCAGAATTAATACATGTGACATTGAGCTGGCTGATCCATTTATAAAGCAACATTTCCATACTTTACTTCAAACTTAAAGTCGGTGCATTAATAATATTTTTATATGATTCACTATATAAAAAATAAACTCATCCCTACATCCCATCACAAGCAATTTAAGATAAAGTCCCAACCATACAAGCTTCTCCTTCTATATATATATTTAGCTATAGCTGAAGAAAAATTCATACTATTACCATACATTATACATATATAGATACATCAACATCATTCAACTTAGTCAACTTCCAAAAATATCAAAATGACAGTAAGAAAACACCACTTTCATTCATTCTTTATCTAATTTTTTCTTTACTATGTGGATTATTTATACATGAGAATTCATATCATTGTTTCTTTTTCTATCTTGATTAATTTCCTTCAGATCATAGAGATGAGGGTACACATGGATTGTCCTGGATGTCAAAACAAAGTGAAAAATGCACTTCAAAAAATGAAAGGTATACCTTTCTTTTATGATTATTTTCTAATTTTCATCTATCTAAGTTTAGTGATCGAATTAAAGATCGATGACTAAACGACTTTTTTTGTATTATAGGCGTAGATGACATTGAAATAGACATGAAATTACAAAAGGTGGTTGTAAACGGTTACGCAGATCAGAAGAAGGTTTTAAAAAGGGTTCGAAAGACCGGACTTAGGGCTGAGTTGTGGCAACTGCCTCATACAGCAGAATCTCAAAATCAATATCATCAACAACACCTTATCAATGGTCCTGTCCCAAACTATGCTTCACAACCTTCTTCATCTTATAACTATTACAAGCATGGTTATGATAGTAGTGATCCTAGCTATTATCACTATCCTTCTCAATCTTCAATCTTTGGCCATCAAACTGGTGCTACTTTTAGTGATGATAATCCTCATGCTTGTTCTATTATGTAATCATTTCATGGTGAAATCAATCAAAACTTTATGCAGTTTATAATATAAAGTATCCATGAATTGCTTTAATTTAAATTTTATAATGTACTTTAGCAAGCATTTTCATTTCATTTTGGTTTTTGAGTTTTATTTTATTTTAATGACTAATTATAATTATTATTTTTTCCCTCTTTGGTATTGTGTATTTTATGTATGTTCCTTTTGATCAAACCTTTGAAGTTAACAGGTTTCAGAATGATTATTTAATTCTAAAATGAATTTTCTTTTTAATATAAAACTAGAAATTGTTTTTTTTTAATTAAAAAAGTGTAAATTTTAAAGGATGTAGAATCATTATTACAAAAATGATGGTAAATTTTAATATAAAACTAGAAATTGTTTTTTTTAAAATTAAAAAAGTGTAAATTTTAAAGGATGTAGAATCATTATTACAAAAATGATGGTAAATCAGAATAACAAATGTCATGATTGGCTTGCACTTTCATTACAAGAGCAATAGTTGATGTGTAAAATTATACAACGTCATGATTATTTATAGACGATCAAGGTTCAAGGCTAAAACATATAATTCAAGTCTAAAATATATAGTTATATTTTGGCTTCAACACAACAATTATATGTTGTATTTGACTCTATCGAATACAACTGACTCTTACTTCGACTAGGTCTGACACACCTCATTCGAATATAGCTTATTTTATAAAAACAATGAATTACAACTTCTAGCACACAACATAATTTCAGTTTTCGAGACTTCTCATCCCAACGCTTATTGTCATACCCTAATTTTTACCCCTAATGTTTCACCTCATTTACATTATTTTGCATGACATTTAGTATTACATGTGTGTGTGTCTTTATGCATCACTAACTCGTTACAAATACAAGAAATGTGTGCTTGCTTGCTTTATAAGTTAGGTTGTGCCTTAAGATGTTCAAGTTGATGATTATCCAAGGATTGGTTCGATCCTCAACCGCTCAAGCCCTAATTCACTCAACATTGATCAAGGATCTCCTCTCATCAAGAATCAAGTGCGAGATGGCATTGAATCAAGATCAACAAGTCTCAGATCATCTGGTGCATCCAAATAAGTGTTTTGACCTAATTCAATTCCTGGGTTGACTTTTTCATCTAAGGATGATCCTATACCTCAAAACATGATTCAAGGACCTCAAATACATCTTTGAAGACCATTCACAAGGTCCTAATTGCTCAAGAAGCTTGATTCACTGGCAATTACAAAGTGGAATTCATCTGGTACAAAGTGAAACAATTGATCAAGTCTAAGCATGATTTTTGGCGTCTCTAGGTCAAACATGATTTCCTCAAGTCAAATATCATGAAAATGTGATTGGTAAATACATTTGATCATGATCAATCAAGAAAATCAAAGAAAAGGTTAAAATTGCAAATTAGGGTTTTGAGAAATTTCGCTAAGTTATGAAATCCTATGATTTTTTCCGTACTTCCTAAGTCCATAACTTCCTCCTCAAGCAACCATTTTCTTTGCTCCAAAGACAAAATTGAAGATCTTGCTACATACTACAAATTTGTCTTAGGGGATGATTTCCAAAAAAAAAATGCATGGGTAAAAAGATATGAGGCCATGAAGTGGAGGTTTCACTACTTTTTGGACAAAAACACTTAGAAATTTTTCAACCAAATCTGCCTATGTCATGAAGCTAACTTTGCAAGAATTTTTCATCATGATCCCAATTAAATCAAGGAAAGTTGTCAGCATGGAAGTTGTAAAGGGTGTTTCTAGATTTCCAAAGAGTCTAAGAACAAAGATTTATCTTACTTGAGCTACAAGTTATGATTTTTGCAAAAAGTATTGAGGAAGCTGAAATTCAAGACAGATCTCTTGTAGCACGTGATATTAGACACGCTTTTAACCATTTTCCCAACCTTATCTCTGCACAAGATCAACATATATCATGTAGTATCACATAAGATCCGCGAGATAGTGTCAAATTTGTTGAATTTCCACCCCTTTGCATAGTAGAAAACCTTATCCCAAGGCATGAACTTAAGTTTTGTTTTTATGCATTAAGTGAAATACCAAATAGTCAAGAAAATTGCCCACCAAGTCAAGACTTTGTTCTAAACATCAAGACTAAAGTCACAATCAAATGATGATGGTCCAAATTGTCAAGATTTGATCATGCTTAGAAAGAAAACTACTTGTACTTTGCATTCAAGTTTAGGCACATGACATGATACATTGGATAATAGGATGCATCCCAATCCAAAAAATTTCCTCCAAAAACCAACTTGTTTTTCTATAAATAGGGATCATTTCTGATCAATTAGAACACACAACAATACAAGAACAAGACCTCAAAACCTCTCCACACCATAATTGCACATTCTTGTAAATTTTAAAATCCATCAAAGTGAAAACTTGAATTTCACAAACCAGTCCATAAACATCACCATTGCATTTTCTAATACTTCAAACACATCTCATACAACTTATCCAAGCTTCTGAAACACTCTAAACATCACCAAACCATCCATAACCAGAAGTTGTATTTTCATATCACCATTGTTGCACAACTTGCAAGAACATTCAAATTCTTCATTGCAATCACTTTCCACTCCACTTATCCATCCAAACACCATCTATGCACTTAATAGAAGTGGTCCAAAGCCTTGAAACACATCTGTAACACCTCAATCCATAAGAGAACATCTCACTTTTTTAAACTGCATTTTGGTTTGGTCAAGGAGTTCTGGAGGGTTTCAATCCAATTCAACCACTTCAACACATTCCTTGGAGGCCAAAGAAGCTTTTAGGATCAACAAATTGCATCTGGAACACCTCTAAGCAGAAACACGATTTTCACTTTTGAAGGTAAGTTGCTCTTTTCCAAATTCTATGATTCAGACATCATTCTTGATCATATGAGTTACAAGCATATGTTTGTCATGATCTAAGGATCATTTTCCCCACGATAATTTCTATGAATCAGTAGCATATAGGATTTCATAGTTGATATTTAGTTCTAGGGTTTTTTTATGTTCTTGCCTGTTAATTTGAATTTTAGGAAAAATAAATACAATTGATTAATACTATTAAATTTCTAGAAAATTTTCAAACAACATTGATGTTTACAGCATCCAATTTCATCAAGAAACAAAGAAGTTAGCATCTTTTAAAAATGAAGATGATAATGAACTCGGGGAAGAAGATGATGATACCATGGCGTGAATTTATTTTTTTAAATGAAGTTTTAATATATATTTTATTAGTTGCAACATATATATTGAATAGGCACTGCGCCATGGTGCTTAGTGTGTGTGTTTGATATGTGTAGCGAGCTCTAGGTCTGGAGTTCGAATCCTCCTCGCACCAGACCTTTTGCATTTTATTTTTTAACCATTTTCAACTTGAAATTCCATGTTTATTTTAACACGCGCGTTATATGTCACAACCAAATCACTTGCCCCAGTGGTAAAGTTTTAGGGTGCAAGCCAGAGTACACAGGTTCATGCCCTAGTGGCAGCAACCCTTTCTTTTTTATCACTAGTTGTTTTATGATTTTTCCCCACCTTCTTTCAATCATATCTCTTGATCCTTTTATCATTTTGAGCTGATTTTTCATACACTCCTTGTTTGTCATATATATTTTGAGAATACATAAAAAAGTACCAAAAAATAATATTTATTTTATATATTTTTGTATAGTTGAAAACATGTACCTTTTATGTGTTTTAAAAGCTTTTAATGATATTCTTTAGATTATTTCTTTGATCTAATTGAACATATGTTCTTATGTGGATATAGTATGCTTTGTTTAAGTCGTGTTAATGACTTTTATCATTCTTAAGTGTCCTTTTCGTTTGAATTTTTTTTGATTAAATGGTTTGTTAAATTGATACCTTTAGAGTTTAATCTTGCTTGACCTTTTGAAACACGTTGATGCGTGACTAGGACTTCCATTTGAGTTTGGTTCCTTTAACCCTTGATGTAACCATGTTAAACATCTTGTTCATGTGCTTACCTTGATTAATATGTGAAAATTATTGGCATGATCAAGTATTTCCTTCATAAACTCTCTTTAGGATTTTGCTTTTGCCTTACCGTGTTCATCTAATCCATGATTCATATACTTATTTAAACTTATTTTTAATGTTTCAAATTGATTAAATCTTTGCTCACATATTCAAGTATTTCCTTCATAAAATTCCACAATGTCAAGCATGTCTATTTTTCTTATGTTTTACCTGTTATACACATGTCTTGATACCATGCCTAATCATACTTGTATATTCATTCCATTCTTCATGTTATACTTGTTGAAATTTGATAAACTTTGTATGTTAAGTTTCTCTTGACATTAGTGTTTATGTTCATCATAACCTCGCCATTGTTTAGACTTAGTTCAAACATTAGGATTCCCTTAAAGTTCAAGTTAAATCAAACCTTAGCCATCTTTGGCTTCAAACTCAAAACACTCTTCCTCGGGAGATTAGACATGAGTCATCTCTATAGAAGAGATATCTCTTATATCCCCATAATATAAATTAAAATTTTGACATTTTCTCTCTCATTTAAGTGATGTAAGTGGCCTACTTGTTGATTCTATATCCAAGTTGATGTCCCTATTTTATTATGGTACAGAGACACTATTTCATTTAAGTGTTGCAAGTGGCATACTTGTTGATTCTATATCCAAGTTGAAGTCATTCTTTTATCATGCATGTCGCTACTGCGAAAATCGGCGCCGGCTGAACAGAAGAGTCGCCACCGTGCGTTATTTGTCCCACGGGAGGGAAAGGAAACGCTCAGAGTAAACCTCGCACAACACGGGAAAGGTATGGTCGTCGCAACCAAAACCTGGGTTCGGGAGTCGGTTACGCAAGGGGAAGGTATTAGCACCCCTCACGTCCGTCGTACTCGACGGGATCCACGCTTGTTTTCGGGTATGGATTGTTATTCTATCTACTCTACAGGTCTAGGGTTAAAAGAAAAGAAAATGACTCGGCAAAGTAT